AACATGGATGCCTCCAGTAAAGCATATTCACATGAAAATTACTCTGAATTAAAACACTTATAATCAATTGAACAGGATGGAATAATTTCATATTTAAAGAACTTTCAGGAGTTTGTATTCTGAATGTGAGCGGACTTTTCTTTTAAGCCCTGGTGTTGGATGTTGTGCAACTGAAAGGATTTTTTCCAATATCTTTTCATTTTTGGACCTTTGTTATATCATATCCGTATCAACCATAGAAGGTTTTTTTTTTATGTTGTTGTTCTTTTTAAAAATTGGCAGAACAAAAGCTGCAATAATAATACTTCCATAAATCCCAGCAGAGTTAAATGAGGAACTGGGAATGCAGGAGAAGAGAAAGCAGAAGGAAATTCAAGCCAACTCATTCATCAATCATTACGGGTCTTCCTGAAGAAGATCCTTCCTGTCTACAACATATCATTTAAAAAGCTGAATTACTATAACATTTAATTTCCCTTTGGGATTAACAAAGTGTTTTTTATTTGAATTGAATTACTAAACATTCTGCCTCTCTCAAGCAAACAATACGTGTAGACAACACTGTTAAAATCTGCTTAGCTCTGAAGAAGAGTCTCAGTCATCCAGGTCTTAGTCATTCCAAAAAAGTTTAATAAAACAATCCACTGGGCTTCGTTTCCAGGTTTGAAGACGTTTTGCTTCCCATCCAGGAAGCTTTTTCACTTCATAGTGGCAGAAATAGCGCTGAGTTTGAGGCTTTAAAGAGTGGACCAAAGCAAAGCTTTGTTTTGGCTTAGAAAACATGCAAATGTAACCGGATGAACAGTCCGTCGTTAGGGTTCTTTGTTAGCTTGCAATACCCAATACCCGTCTATGGGGTAGGAACAGCTCATTTACCAGGTCATAAAATAGAGGTGTGGGTAAAAAAACGTGCTTTGGTGAGGCTCAAGATCTTGTTGCTCGGCCAGGTTTTGCTTCTTTTTAATATATGTATGTTTTTGCCTCTGACAAATGTAATGCCTTGAAGAAGCAATGTCTCATCTCTATGAAGGAGCTACTAGGATCTGGTGTTTTTAGCCTGCTTCCCTTGCTGGTGCAGAATGAGGCTATAAGGAGGCTTTAGTCCGCGATGTGGCCGACCCGGGTTTAAATCCGACCTGTGGTCCTTTGCCGCATGT